GATCGAGCCCCGCATCGGGCTCCCTGCTCTGCGGGGAGCCTGCTTCTCCCTCACCCTCTGCTTGCCTCTCTGCCTACTTGTGCTCTCCCTCTCTCTCTGTCAAATAAATAAAGAAAATCTTTAAAAAAAAAAAAAACATTAACAGAGCAAGCTGGGTGAAAAGTACATGAGAACTCTCTGTACTAATTTTTCTGTAAATCTAAAACTATAAAATAAAATTAAATTAAAATAAAAGGCTTACTTTAAAAACTCTAAATCTAAAACTGTCTAATCCAGAATGCTTCCTTTCTATTTGTATAACATTCCCTAACAGAAAGGCATTAAATTCTAAGTATTCAGAGGTAACAAAATAAAGCACCTCCCAACCAACACAATCAAAAGAAATCCTCCCTGTTTTTCTGCTTAACACTGAATTCTTACTATATATTCCAGGCATTTTACTTATTTTATTGAATTCTCACAACTGTCCTAAAGTAATTATCAACCCAAATTATACCTGAGGTTGAAAAAAGTTAAGTAATTTGCTTACTATCACCTAGGCACTTTAGAATCATGTGTACTTGAATGAGCAAGAAGAATTTGCTACTAAATTTTACAGATTCTATCTTCACAGTGTTTTTCACATCAAAACCTCTTGTCTGTTCTAGAGGAAAAAACCTCCCAAACACTTATTTTTTTTTTTCCAAGATTTTACTTATTTGAGAGAGAGCACAAGCACAAGCAGGGGGGAGGGGCAGAGGGAGAGGAAAAAGATTTCCCGCTGAACAGGGAGCCCAACACGGGGCTCGATCCCAGGACCCTGAGCGAAAGGCAGACACTTAACTGACTGAGCCACCCAGGTGCCCCCAAAACAAGCATTTATTTATTTTTTTTTTTTTAAAGATTTTATTTATTTATTCATGAGAGACAGAGAGAGAGAGAGAGAGAGAGAGGCAGAGGGAGAAGCAGGCTCCCAAGGAGCAGGGAGCCCGATGCGGGACTCGATCCCACGACCCTGAGATCATGACCTGAGCCGAAGGCAGACGCTTAACCATCTGAGCCACCCAGGCACCCCAAAACAAGCATTTAAATCTCTAGTCTTTCCCCCTTAATCCATTATGATGTACATCTATAGTTGTTTACTGGCTTCCCAGAATCTACCCCCACTTTTTTTTTTTTTTTTAAGATTTTATTTATTTGACAGAGAGAGACACAGCGAGAGAGGGAACACAAGCAGGGGGAGTGGGAGAGGGAGAAGCAG